TACCTACCGTAGCGGTTTCTGGCAAGATGTCTTCGGGGAAACTCGTCCAAAATTGCTTTTGGGGTCATTAAGAACGAAGGCTTTTCTTTGCAGGTTTTTGACGTTTTGACGACGACTCCGTTTTTTTCGCCAGTTTGCCACTATATAGCGCCCTACTAGCATTTTAGGCCGAGTACCAAATTATGGTGCCAACTGCCTTAAAAGGCACTCTCTGTGGCCAAAAATGTGAGCTTTGCTAAACAATACTGACGACGTGATGGCGAATAAAAGAAGCGGTGAAATGGCTCCTATAGAACCCATGCCGCAACGAATTCGTACGTGCATAAGGCGGAGAAAGGACGTAGCCAAATAAGTTCTCGATTACTGGTATCAATTCTTTCCCCTTATTACCTCGCTCTCAGCATATGAAATGGAGAGAAAGAGCTAGTAGCGGAATAATCGTACAACCAGGAAGCCTTCAGAAATGAGACTTGGGCCTTGCCGTGGCCAGTGGGCGGAGCCGTAGCCTCGTCGCGTCGCGAGCGGGTCGCGCTTACCTTACGTAACTTTGAGCAGGAAAGTAGTATATCCTCCATGCTTGCGGTCAGGACTACCGTGGCTCTGAACGTCAGATATACGCGGGGTGGGCTTTCAAGCTTTTTACTGCCCGTCAATCAACTTGCTTTCAACCTCATTTCAGAATTATGCCTTTCTTTGATTGGTTGAGAACGACAGTCCCATTCACGAAAGGAGGCAGTCATAAATATTATAGCCCTCAAATGTAAATAACCCTTTCCAATAACCGTTTTATTGCCCTTTTAACGACTCGACTAGTATGGCGTGGAAGTAAGCTTCCTTTTCCTTTTCCCAGTGGTTTCTTGAAAGCGCTTTTTTGCATGTGGTGAATGGCTGCGATAAAACGGGGACTGTAGCAAGGAGCGCTTTCAAGTTATAGGGGGTTTTTCAACATTTCCGCGGCATTTTGAAGGTGTAAAGCTGAACTGAAGTTCATTTTCTCGAAAGAGAGTCTAGGGAGAGTGAAAATAGCTGAGAAAAGGTTTTTGACAAGCGAAGATTCGTAAATTTCATCACATTTCTCCCCGTTCACAAACTACGTTACTTAGTAGCGAGCGCGCCAGAGCCACAGGCAAGTGTAGGCGTCGGCATCCCGACACCAGGCGGTTTTGGGCCAAGTGGACAAGGTGTTTGTATTCAGATGATCTAACTACCATTGGGACAAAGTCCTGCCCATCCTACCGATGAGGAGACCAAGTCCTACCCATTCTAGCGATGAGGAAAAATTACGATAAAATCTGCCCGAATTTCGGAAGCTGGGGCAGCAGTGAATGAACATTACAGATAGTTGCACGCTTCAAAGGATTCTATGTGAATATTGGGCGTAGCCTACCTGATAGATGCGTGGGAAAGCGTAGGGGCAAGCTTCAAGAACTAAAGCTTCGCGTTTTTGATGTTCAGATGCCGTAGTTAAAGAATGTTCTCCATTTGCAGTATGAAGCACTTGAAGAAAAGCTACCCGCTCGCGACGAGGCCACGGCCCCGCCCGCTGGCCACGACAACTCCCATTTCAGGAGATATAACTTTTTATGCTCTTGTTCCGCTGCTACCTCTCTCCAATTCGAATGAGAGTGAGGTGATAAGGAAAAACATCCGATCCCAATACATGAAAACTCGTCTGACGACGCTCTTTATTCGCCTTTGCACGACAAACGCGGTTTGGTGTGGAATCTATATGAGGCACTTTGAGCTGGTTTTTTTTGCTTTCTTCAGTCACTTTTGTGTTATCGCCATTTTGTTATTAGTACTTGAGCCGTACAACTGACCATTTTTGAACTCTGGGCGCGCCTCTAGAGCGAAATTACAAGACTTCGGGAGCTTTTGCTCTGTTTTTTCCTTCCTGCTTACATTTTTCAAAGAGGTTTTGTTGAAGGGGCATAACTTCCTGGTATTTAATCTGTAACAGCTCAATTTCGCGATTATTTTCTCTGAAAATCCAAAGATGATCTTGTAAAAGCTGATCCGTAGTGAGTCAAACATGTCAAACGAACCCTTGTAATCCACCCTCCCGCAGAATATTTCCCGCCAATCTAGGGACTCTAGCTCGCCTATTTTTTTTCTGGATGTTTGCTTTATTGAATGTAATTTCAGGAGACGGGAGCGATAGCGCCGCACGATGGTGGTGGCCATGTGGAACACATGATGAATATCGCATTCATGGGCACACTCGTTTCTAGTGGAAGAGGAAGGGTTAGTTGGACGGTCACTGCTTATTTGTTTGTTAACTTGTTAATTTCTTTGCGTTTGTGGCAAGAACCTGTCTCGCAGGTCTGTAGAGATTATCCAATCCAGAAAGTCTTCGCTGGCCCTCCTTACCATCCATTTCACGGGAGAAACTCTTCGAGAAAGAGGGCGGCGTGTGGGGATGGGGGAAGGGGTGTAAAGTCTCATCCGAACTGTCTTCACCCCCTTTCGCGTTTATAAAGATCCCTCACCGTTTACTCCTCAAATACAGTTCTTATGACCAGGGGCTTAAGTACGACCCTTCTCCTCCCTCCTGAAGCACCAGGGCACGTCGTACGTGGGATATCCCCAGTGGGAACGGTTGGTTGCTAGAGAGGAGGAGGTAGCATGCATTCAGTGATTTTTTTTGTCATTGTTGGTTTTTCCGTTTTACTAGGCACCATCTATAGGTGCAGATGGTGTACTGACAAGTGTACGTATACCACGCGCACGGTCCGGGGACTGAATCCCGGGTCAGCTCCCGCTGAAACCAACCGAGCGTTCTAACCTCCGAGCAGGTAGGTACCACAGTCGTCTGGGAGGATAAGAACATTGGCTTGTACATCGGCTGGCCCCGCAAGTCATTGTATAGGCCAATCGCATTCAATAAGCCACTACGATTCTGAATGGAAGTAGAATGCGTGCCGCATCCCACAAAGGGATTGATTAACGGCGAAGACTTTATCCTTTATCCTTTTACTATGCAACAGATTGGAGGCGCAGCTACTATTTTTTTTTTGATCGGGGCACGTCGTACTTTAGGGATCTCGAATGGGGGGGGGTCGTGTTTGGTCGCTAAAAGGGGAGCCATATTCTCCTTCGAGAAACATGTTCTCGGCTGGTTTTTCCCGTTTCTCCTGGTTTCAAGTGCCGAGGATGCTATATCCCCCCTTGCCCGCTCAATGGCTTTTTTTGGGTGCATTGGAGGAATTTCAGGAAAACCTCAGAAAAATGGTAGACAGTTGGAAAAATTTTGGAATACGGTAGGTGGGATGAAGGACTAGGAAGGGAAGGGGTGGTAGTACCAGGGGACGAAATTTCGAGGGGTGATACTTTACAGAAGTTTTCCCCAAAAGCAGGGCGTGCATGTTTCCTTACAGTTCATCGGAGAGATGTCTACCCCGTTCCGGGACAGCCTTTGTGAAAGTTTCGTAAGATGATCGATTTTCGGGGGGGGGGGTGGAAGAGTGCGGGTCGTATCGAAGGAAACATTCGGGAGCGTAGTTGGCAAAAAGTCTCCTCAACGCTGAGAAATCCCTGTTGAACATTCTTCATGAATAATTTGCCCTGCTCCAATATATTGAGAAGAGTTTTGCTTGGTGGGGCATTTCGCTGGTTCCCATAACTGCCATTGCCTGCTGTTTAATCTTTTGGATTCCTCTGGAGAAATGCACTAGGAATGTTTGAGCTTTGTTTACACTTGGCAAAAATCTTCAGGTCTCACCAAACTGAGACGTTTGCCTAAACAGGAACTAACAAAAGAAACTAGCTAAAAGTGCGAAATGCCCCTCAAAAGCCGAACAGCCTCACAAGTGTTTATTGTCAGGCCTTTAGAAGCACAGCAGTAGAAACGAAAATGTATATTTTTGCGTTTTTGTAGTAGCACAAATCTACGAGAGCTTGAAACCATCTAGGGAACTCAAAAGTCTTGTTCTTTCTTGAGCTTTGTAGAGTTTCACATCTATAAAAGTTTCAGGGCTTGGTTATTTCAACAGCGACGAATTCGCAATTTGGCGAGGTGTTTCGGATGATGCAAGGCGAAGAGGTGACCTTTTTATTCCAATTATAGGATGATGGAAATGAATATTCATGAGGCGATATTCAGAATGAGTTTATCCGGAGAGTTAGAGGTGTATCCAGTGGGAGATTAGGTTTCTTCAAGGGGGGGGGGGCTTTTAGTAGTCTCACTCTAATGAACGCCGATTTCTGATGTTCCAGTACCATTGTGCATGTTCTACGTGCAGTTAGCGCGTTTGGCGTAATTGGCTTGTACTCTGTGTTAATAGCGCTTTCTTCAGCTAGCAAGTGTCGAAAAACCCACCTCGCCTGCCACGTTGTTAACCTTAGATTACTAAGAAAACTGGGGTAATTTTGTTACTCAGAAGTAGTTTGTAAAGGGAAATTCGTGTTAGGCTGTGTTCTTTCGCCGTGGAGATGTTTCAGCAAGTGTACTTTACTACGCCCGCGGTGCGGGAGTCGAATCCCGTCAAGGCCAACTAAGCCTTATACCCTCCGGGCGATTAATCGGTACCACATTTGTCTGGAAGGGTAAGCACACTGACTAGTACATCACCCGCAAGTTACTGCATAGGCCATATCATGTTCAAAAAAGCACTACGATTCTGAATGGAAGTAGAATACGCGCCGCATCCCAAAAAGGGATTGCTTAAAGACTAGACCGGAGGCTATATTTCATCCTTTTGTCGCGACCCAAATGATAATATCGCTCGCTCCAATAAACGCGCATCCACGGCTGACTGTGCTCCGTGGGAATCCTTGGACCGTCGCGAATGTTGATCTACTTTTAATCAGAGTAAAAAAAAATCCAAAATTACTGCAGCGGTTTAGTGATTAACAGTGGAGGGCAACTGGTCGTTGCCGTGTGAGTAAATCGCTCGAATATCTCACCATTGAGCACCATTTAGCAGTGATAATGAAGCAGAGTAGTCGGTGCATTTGTGGCAATCGTATACACTCATACCATCGGTTGGTTCCTTTAGTGATTAATTTGAATACTGAGTTCTCATCGAGGAGTCACTAGCTTGAATGGTCAGGCTCCGTGCGACGTCTAAGCAAACAGGTGTCTGTCAATCGAGCCCCTCCAAATCTAATAAATTGGCATCTTCGAAGGGAGGGGTGGGTTGAAGCACTTTCCCCATTTAGACCATGTTCGGAAACGCGTGTTACTAGAGGTTTTTCGCGCCGCGCGCGGCGCGAGCATAAGTTTGAGCGGCGCAGGCATGACCTCTTGATGCACACTCGCGTATGGAAATTTTTGGGTGTTAACAAGGATTCTGTTCCGGTGGTGAGTTCCTTGTCCACAAAGGAAGATCTCCCTCTTTATACTACCATCACAAACACAAACTGTACCTGTTTTTGTTTGAATAACTTGCTGTTTTACGCCGGCAGTGCGCGATACGAAAGTTATCAGCAAGAATCTGAGGTTTGTGGGCAAAAGGTCGACACGGCGGGACCTCGAACGCGCGCTCTTCTGGCTTACCGGGCAAGTTTGCGTAAGTGGTAAACGCAACTGCCCGTAAAAGCAGAAGATGCGGGTTCGAGTCCGCGTGTCCGAACTTTTGCCGCACAAACTCAGCCATTCTTGTGAACACAAACTGTACTCCCACCTCCGAGGACGGTCCTTGCCATGTGCGAGACGAATGGGTCCGCCGGTGCAGCAACGTGCCACTTTCACCGCCCATCTATGCACAAGGGGGCTGTATGATAATGGTTCGTAGGTGAAGTCTCCGTATTGCTCCAGCGCTATCCCCAGGATGCAGCACTTGACGATCGCAAAATCTTGCCGAACACGCAATCTGAGATAAAAACAACCGGAAAGGGTAGGGCGCAGACGAGGAGTGCGCCTGGTTGTGATTAGGCCTGTGACCGGCCGTGCGGCAGCGCGGGCGGAGTATAGAGGCGGCAGTCGGGCACGAATACTTCCCACTTCCGTACTTTTGACCGGCGAAAGTGGCACACAACTGCAGCTGCGGACCCATTCACCTCACACGTAGCGAGGGCCAGAACCCATGAAGGTGAATGTAAAGTTTGCCTGCAACCATAACCCTAATTCAACCTGGAATTGAAAGCATAGAAGAGTCAACAACGGAGACGCCATTACGAAATAGCATGCAAAGATCAAACCGTCTTTGATTATTCTGATTGCATGCACAGTGCTTTCAGTCCCCGAAGACGCCATTGCAAAATAGCATGGATCACCTGGGAAAGCAGCTGACGTTCTACTCATTCGGTGTGATTATACTCATCTTCATCATAGGATTGATACAAGGACGTAACGTGCTCGATATGTTCACTATTGGTGTGAGGTAAGGTCTAGAAGATCAAAGCATTGTCAACTGTACTTTAGAAAATGGACTATAAAACGTTTCAGCTTGGCAGTAGCGGCTATTCCTGAAGGATTACCGATAGTGGTAGCAGTAACCCTGGCCATTGGCGTGATGCGAATGGCGAAACGGCGGGCTGTCGTAAAGAAGGTGAGTAGAAAATGGAGTTATTAAAAGACACATTCTGCATTCTGCAGTCTTATTTGTATAAAATATCCCGATCCGCTATCACAAATGTTAGATCACTATTTCTGGCTTCAAAGTAGGTTATTAGTGCGTTGAGGAGGTCATTGGAAATGGTAGCCCCACCCATCCATTGGCGGCTTCAAAGTGGGCTATAAGTGCGTTGAGGTGGTCATTGGAAATGGTAGCCCCACCCATCATTGGCGGCTCCACTCCTAAGTGGACAGCGTTACATTTGTAGCGGACCATGACCGTGGCTGCTGTGTCCCTCGTCTTTCTATTTCTCAACCTTTGTCTGTGATATCTAATCCGCACTCTCACTGTCTCTTCCGCTCCCTTATCCAGGGCTGCAGCTCAGCTACAGGAAACTCACTAAAGGGCCTTATTCAGGGGGTCCCCCCACGATACTGTATACCTTTCTAGAGGGTAAGTGAAATAACTCCTGAGAATTCAATCAGGATGTGTCTTCAAGTATTTGAGTGAGTTTCCTTTGGCTACGAGCCCCCATTTATGACGATTATTTTTCAGATGCCAGCTGTGGAGACGTTAGGATGTGTGACAGTGATTTGTTCGGATAAAACGGGTACATTAACAAGGAATGAAATGACAGCAACATGTGTAGTTACTCCAGAAGGACGTCGTGCCGAGGTAAGTAGATTTACTCAGTGCATTTTGGCTTGGGAGGAGGGGCATTCTGCGCTTTTGTTACATCTCATCGACGTATCCGCTGGTGTAGAGTTGACCGGTATTCCCAACAAAAGTTGACAAGTAGTCTCTACAAACTTTGGCTGCTATTTTTCGTGTCGTCTCACAAGATTTTCCAGGTTTATGGCTCGACACGTCGATGGAAAGCTGCGACCTTGCAAAATACTCCCCCCCTTTGGTATGCTGGCCAGTAATAAAGAGAGTATATCTTCTAGGTAACGGGTATTGGATACGCGGTCGAATGGTGGTACGTGTACGTATGAAGGAGATGTTATCAACGGCTTCAGTCATCGTGAATTTGCAAGCATTATTGAGGTAGGGTTTTGGGTCAACACCCCTTTTTAATTCAAAAAAAACGTCAAATTTAAGGTTGGTGTGGTATGTAACAACGCGGATATTGTAGCAGATACTGTGTTAGGACAACCCACAGAAGGAGCTCTTGTCGTACTTGCACAAAAGGTAAGCTGAGAAGTTAATTCAAATGCGCGTTCCATGCTGGTCATATGGGCGGGGCCGGACCTACCATTTCTCCTTCTCCATTTGTGCTTCCTCATTTCTGCGGTAGTAAAGTGGTGGGACGTCGGGAGGTCAACCAAATTTTGTGCCCTGCTTCGATCATGCAACCAGCCTGGAGTGCAGGTGGACATCACAGCTCTTCCATTGGTATGATCTACAAACTGACTGGTTACTCCAATTTTCAGCTGTACGGTCAAAAATCGATTCTCATATGTATTGGTCAAGAAAAGTCCTGCCACTGGGGAAGAATGTTGCAAAATATGCCTCTCCTTGAAGTTTCCTCCTCTGGTACCCCCCTCCCCCCCTTTTGTTGCTCACCTCCCCCCTCCCGCTGTTGTCACCTCGCCTCCTGCCCCTCATCCTGCCCAAACGGCAACAGACAAAAACATTCTCCTCAAACTCCCGCAGGCAAATACGCCTCCGCTTCCCCTCGCCCAGTTGTCAAGTACGACCACCTTCGCTGATGCTTACCCGCGTGCGACGTGCCCTGGTACCAATACGTCCAATGATTATTCGAAGTCTCTCAGTACCATACCAGTTTTGAAGGAGAGGGACTCCCGCCGATTCTACGTCCTCCAAGTCCATGAAACTAATTGTATAGGCCCAAAGCCTAGACAAACTCCCGTAGGAACTCCGATCGAAGATTGTGTGCATGGCTCACCCATGAGGAATTGCTCAACACTGTTAGCTCAGCTTTATTATACCGCGCCGTAGAACTGAACAACATCTTTTCCCCCGCTCGAATCTGTTCATGGGAATTCGCTTTCGGCGTTGAACGGCAATTTGGGTATTTAGCAAAAGAGTGGCTATTATGTCGCAAGTGCAGAATAGAAGTGACGCGATTGCTATTGATTTGCGGTTAACTGTGTATGTGGGATAATTATTGTTGCTTCAGTTCTTCAAGGGATTATACTGAACTGTAACGTTAAGTGAGGAAGAAGAAAGAATTGTCATGCTAAAAAGAGCAACGACGGTTCGTTTCGTCCCATCTCATGGGCAGTAGCGATGGGACGTTGCAGAGCTCAACGCTTATCGATTTGATTGACTTCGGTTGAATGGGGAATCGCAGAATCGCTAATTCTCCCCATAGATACATGCAACGGGACAAAAAAAGACACTTCGGCCAAGTCACATATCAGTAAAGTTTACGCAGCCCAGAGAGAAGACGTGGATACGAGTACCAGGGCGGAAGATACCCAAGATGTTCCTCGATAAGCAGGAGCTGGCTCTCGCCCATCACCTTCATGTACACCAAAATATGAAGTCATCTCCAGTCGCAGCCTGACTGGAGAAGACCTTGGAATTCACGTCACCTCCAAACAGCTGCGAAACTTCTTGTATGGAGTCACCCATGGATAGCTACCTGGAGACCAGTACTCTCGATCTGGAAGACCTCCAACATCGAGCAGCTCCGACAACGTCGCTACGGTCTAGGACATCATCTTCACCGCAGTCGCCAAGGCGCGGGTTGATGGTATGGACCGGACGTACCTGGAA